ATCATCTTTATTCATCTGAGATTGTATGTTGGATAATCATTTAGAAGCTTGGCAGTTATCTTGGAAAATTTCTCAACTTTTTTATGAATCCTATGATATATAAGGAGGTTGAGGTTGATCTATGTTTTTCCATACCTGATTATTTTTGGCCCTTCTACGTAAGGTAGAAAACTTTGTAGGTAGGTTCAGCTAAATGCTGTCTTACCTGTCTACTGCTTGTTTTAACGAACCAGGTAATGGTTACATGATTTTGTTGTTCCAGGTTCTCAATTCAGTGGATAAATCGAAAGTCAAACCAGCAGTCAGAGCAAGTGAGATGAATATTGCTGTCAAGAGTGGGCAGCAGCAACCTTCTTTGATTCATCATGGTACTCAGTCTACTCATGGTGGACATGTCAAGTCAGATACGCCAAAGACATCTGGGAAGCTTTGGTTCTCAAACCAGGATGGGAAAGTGGGGTCTCATCCCCTAAACAAAAAGATGTAGCTACTCCAACAACAAATGTCAACAGCAAAGTTACAACTAGCCAACATGCTGTTGCTGCTGTTACATCTGCTCCCGCAAGAAACTCAAACAATCCAAAGCATTCTACCAGAGAACGCAAAGCAGCTGCGTTGAATCCAATAGCTGGGTTCACTGTGGAAAAGATACCCTCTTTGGCTCAAACCCAGAGTCGAAATGATTTCTTTAATCTCCTGAAGAAGAAGATGTCAACAAACACATCTTCTTGTCTCTCAGTTCAAACCCTCATATTTCATCATCCACCACAGAGAAATATGAAGTTCCAAAGGAAGTATGCAGTGCTTCACCAACTGCGCTTGCCGATGAGAATGATTCTGCAGCAACTAGCAATGGTGGCACCTTGAAAAGGCTCCAAGATTTTCTGGTGAAGGTGAAAAGAATATTAACTCTTTTGCCATGTTTTATCCATATGAGGAAGAGGCTGCATTCCTTCGTTCTCTTGGTTGGGAAGAAAACTCCAGTGATGATGAAGGTCTTACAGAAGAGGAGATCAACGCATTTTATCAGGAGGTAAGTTATACTTCTTTTGTTTTTGTGGTTCTACTTGCCCTTTTACTGATAACAGAGTCATTTAATAATTTTTTGTTGGAAGTCGTTCTATGACTTGATTCCTAGTATTGGTGTTTTTAATGAACCTTTTTCTATACTGGAAATTATGTTGAGTTGTCCCTGCTCTATGCTTTCGTCTGTAATATGATGCACAGAACTCTATGCATAGCCACTCAGTATCTTTCTGCTTGTTTAAAAGTTGTGTTTTAAAAAAGTAATGTAATGTAAGAACTCTGGTAAGATAATTTCTAAACGCTCTTGCTCTTTTTTTTATTGATTTTTGTTTTGCGGTACATGAAATTGAGACCAACTCTGAAAGTGCAACATAGTATGCAACCAAAGCCGGCTCAATCAATTGCAACTAATTTAGATGGAGGAGCTTCTTCGGAATTGAGCTCGTTTGACTCTGAATCTGAAGCTTGACTCTTCTAATGCTCATACATTGTGAAATCCAAAGAAGAACCCAATTTTTGATGGCAGATGATTAGATTTTTGTTTTTCTTTTTTGACGTCTTCTGTTTGAAAGGAAGCTGTTGGGTTGGGTTGAGTTGGTATGGAGAGGTGGTGGGTTTAAGGTTTTGAGAGGGTGCATTTTGCAAATAGCACAATAAGTCCTGCTCACTTGTAACAAGAGAATTCTTTAGGTCTTCTGCAGTGGGAAGATGATGCTGGAAAGAAAGTTGCATCTTTAAGGAAATCAAAAAGTTCCGTTTCAAGATTAGCTCAGATTTCCATTTTTGTTGTTGTTGTTGCTTGGATATAACGAGTATGTTGCAATCTGCATATCCTACTGACCTCATAACCTGTAATCAAGTTAGAAAAAGAGCTTTGACAAGTTTGATCACTGTATTACAATTTTAAAAAAATTGAAAAATTATTATTGGTTATCGATAGGGTTAATTGTATATTTGGTGCATGTATGGCACTGAATTCTTTAATGTCACATAATTATGTTTTTCTCAATTTCATATATGAAGTATTTCGTTGTCAACTGCATTTTTGTGACGGAATTTGACTTGGATCCTTTGGATGTAAAAGTATTTATTGTTTGGTTAAAATTAAAATAATTAATTTAATTAATGTAGTTTGATTAAACAGTCGATCATGAAGTTTGTTTAGTCAGAGAAAGGTTAAAGAATCTTTAAAGTTCGATTATTGATAAATTTCATTCAAAATCGGTTAATTAATTGAATTATTCAAAAACATAAAATATATATTACATTTTATAACTCAATTTAGGATAAATTACATGTTTAGTACTTAAATTATGGCTTTAGTTTCATTTTAGTACTCAAACTTTATGTTTTTTTTTAAATCATACCTAATATTTAATTTAAGTTTCAATTTGGTATTTGTTGTTAAAAATATAATGTGATACTGACATGACATTTCTTATTTTATTTTTTTGAATTTTCACTTCATTTCTAATATTTATTTTATCCATAAGGTGATTATATGTGTAACTTTAGAGGTATGAAGGATTTGCTTGAAGTCCTTAGATGGGGCCAAGCGCCTCCACTAAGCTAGGTCATTGCTTGGTTGAAACCATGGGGAGGACCATTGGCTATGGATGGAACGAAGGGACTTGTTATCTTTATAAATTTTCTCCTCTTTTAAGTGTTTAATTTTTGGTATAATGTTAAAATTAGCCTTCAATATTTATTTTAAATTTTCATTCTAGTTTCTATTTTTTAAGAATTTTAATTCTAACATTTCATTTTTTTTTGTCAAAATAGCCATTGTTTGATGGAAACTGTTAGTTGACTAACAATCAACTCATGTTGCTGACATAACACTTCCATATGTGCTTAATTGATTATGTGGCACAAATCATGTCATCGCATTGGATGATGTGACACACATCATATCATTATCTTCGTGACGTGACATATGACACGTAAACAATTAAGCACATTTAAATATGTTACGTCAAAAATATATTTTGATAGTTAATCAACTAATGATTTTTATCTAACATGGATAATATTAACCAATAATTGAAATGTTGGAGGCTAAAATATTCTGAAAAATATATGGGCTAAAATTACTATTCAAACAAACATTAGGGTTAATTTTGTTATTATGGATTTGCTTCTTTGTTTTTTCAATTGGAAATGGGATGACGTGGGAACTTGGAAGTTGGGGATGCAATGAAAGAAACATGGATATCTGATTGGATTAGGGATCTGAGTTATGTTACGTAATTTTGCATAAAATACACGTTTAATATCTCAACTATTACTTTTGTTAAGTTTTGCTTACTCAATTATTTTTTAAAATCATACTTAACATTACGTTTTGATTTCATTTTGATCACCTACTGTTAGGTTTAAAAAGAATAGAAACATATCACTACTTGCCAATTCACAGAGGCACCAACTTTTGTCGACCGAGATACTGAACAACAGATCCTTGTCATTGGCATTAAGGCACTAATTATTGCTTGGACTTGTATATGTCTTTGATGCCATGCTATTCTCTATTTTCCTTCTTTCTAATGGAAAGATGTTATGTTGTTTGAGGATTAACTTCAATTGTGGTGGACTAGGGTCGGCAGACAGAGGAAATAGATTAATATCAGGTGGTCTAGGAAAAAAGCAATTGAGAATCCATTGAATGATCTCGGTTTTGTTATTCTCTCTTGTGGTCTCGAGTTCGAACAGTTGCGTCTGCGAGATATGTACACGTTGTCAATGTTAGAAAAAGATTATGAACAGATAGTACCTTATAAACACCCATACTATTCAAGAAAAAAATGCGATTGACCGGTTCATCTCCCTATCTAACTCCTCGTGAGAGACTAAACTTGAATCCATTGATAAAACTGTTGATGGGTGATGATTCTCAATACACAAGCTTGTGAGCAAATCTTCTCTCATTGTTTAAGACGTTATTTGCTTTAGGAATAAGATAAAAGAGAGTATACTCTTTTAGTCTAAAAAATATAATTTTTTATCTCAAAACTCATATCCAAACTAATCAAACCAAACAAATATTAAAATACAAAATTTATTCATAAATGATTTTTGAGTTGGATCTCTTTTAAAATCTAAAATATTTATAAAAAAAAATAAAGAAGAAAAACGTTGTTCTACGAAACTTTTATTTGAAGATCTCTCCTGAAACGCAAAATATCATATTTCTTTTCAGACTCCGGTCAACAATATACGACAAAATTAGGGGACAACAATTCAAAGCGTTTAATGTTATATTTGTAGAATTTGAAAAAAAAAATTCAATTTAATGAATGCTAAATTTATATTTCAAAAAACAAAATGAATTTAATAGGAAATTTTGAGACTCGTTGACCGTTAACGAAAACGATCAATGATAATTGATACAGTAACCATTCATTATAGCCATTAACTATAATTTGGATTTGTGGAAAAGAAACAGAAAAAAAAAGAGAAAAATAATATACTTTCTTTAATTTTTTATAAAGATCCAAAACGACGTCATTTTAGTAATTTTTACAAGGATTCAAAAAAATTATCAAGTCTTATCATACTATTATTTTATTTAATGTTGGGGCAACAAAAATAAGAGGACTTCAAAAATTAAATCTTATTAAAATAAAGTGAAAAGAAAGTTAAATGATAGAAATTTATAAATTATCCAATCATGCTTGATAACTTGATTTTTGACCCCCATTAAACCCGGTCGTCTCAATCGATCTTAAGACGCAATGTTTGACATTGGCATCGTGCATTCAAGACTTTTACTTCCGGATCTTTCATTGCAACAATGTAGGATACAAGATCTGATCCAAACCCGAATCAATTATTGGCGAAGCACAGTTGGTCGAAATTAGATTTAAAAGCACCATCACACATATATTCAAATGATCGGCTCAGGACAGTAGACTACATGATTTATGAAAGTGAAACAATTTGCTATCCATCTCAATCCCAATGGATAATTACATATGACACACGCACATATCATCGCCTCGCTTTTGTGCTCCGTGCAAACGCTGGATTAGATTGGGAGATATCTACTATTCTGTGTGTGAAGTCCAATATATCAGCCCACTGCAATCGATATTCAAAGTAACGAACTTAACGAGTGAAATCCGAGGACTTCTTCATAATGACAGAGGGGCAGCATATCTATACATTGACTATTTCTGACTTCCGAGTCTCATTCTCATACAGGCCTAAACACGCAAGATGTCCATCTTCCGATGTAATTATAGAAAATTTAACCTAAAACGATATGGATGATGGTGAGAATTCTAAACCCGGAATAACATGTACCTGATTAAGATGAACGTGCACTGTAAGACTCCCGCAGTACCAGTCCACACTGAAGGACCAGATTTTACCATCGAGTCTTGTATCAAGAGGCCCACCGAAGCAGCCAGTGAGACAAAGGATACAACATAAGCCAAGAAAAGCCAGAGCTTCAACCAGTTGCAATGAAGGATAAGTAAGCCATAAGCCAAAGCAAGCAATCAAAGGCCTGCCGGGACCCTCATAAAGATCTAGAGTACACAACCGAATTTATACAAGGATGGTTCGTAGATTCCATTCAGAACCAACTAGAAATGCGTCACAAAAACAATCTTCCAATGGATACAATTATATGAAAACCAGGCATATAGAAGATAGATGGTGCACGGCTAGAAAAACAAGACAAAATGGGTATCAAAAGCTATGGGTGTAAAGGAACAGAGTGTTCAGTGAATTGTTCGTATAACGTTCGTATATGTTCGTTTGTTAAGCGAAATAAACGAGTATGAACAAACTTTGTTATGTTCATTTAATAAACGAAAGAACACGAACAAATATGTGTTCGGCTCGTTTATGTTTACGAACAAGCTCGTTTATGAGCTCGTTTATCGACTCGTTCATTTATATTCATGAACAAGCTTCTTTACCTGGTTTTCCTTTTTTTTTTACATTTTAAATATAGGTGAATGTAGGGACTAAATTGAACATACGGTAAAAGTTAAATTTTAAACTGAGAATTTTAAGGAGTTTAAGAACTATTGGCATAATTTTAACATTTTTCTTTAGTTTGCAAATGAAAGGGTAAAACTAAAAATTGAACGTATAAACGAACGATAAATAAACGTTAAATGAACATGTTCGTGAACGCTAAATGAACATGTTCGTGCACATTAAATGAACATGTTCCCGAGTCCTTATGGGGGAGGACTTGAGCAAGTAGGAGGCGTAGAAAGACAACCAAGTTGTTGTGAAGTATGGCGTAAGGGATCGTGAAGTTACATGAGGAAGAAGCCAAGGTAAGCAGTTCATATGGGAGGACCGCAACAAGCCAAGGCGTTGAGAAGTATCCAAGGTGATGTTGCCCAGGATATTTGAGTGCAGCGATGAGGGTGTCCCTAGGTTCGACGGGGGAGAATGTCACGGGCCGTGATATTTGGGTCCGGGACATTGGTGCAAGTGTCCGACAGAACTAATTTGTTAACATTAAATGAACACGTTCGCAAACAATAAATAAACTAATACGAACACCTTCAAAAATGAATAAACGAACATGAACACGATATTAAAAATTTAAACGAACATGAATCGAACATGAACATAACTTTTTTCGTTCAAGCTCTGTTCATTTACACCCAACAAAATTAGTAATTCCCAATTCCTTTAATCCACATAAAGCCGAACCCTAAACCCCGAATTTTAATCACTAACAAACAAGAGTCGATGAATAGATAACATCGTTAAATACCACTAAACACAAGGATGAACCGGAGAAGCCATACTTGATGCATATTATTAGCCCATATAACAATCCACCCTCACATGATGGAATCAATAAACGATGCAAATTTCTTTACATTTACAAAGAAAATTTTGAAGTGATTAAGCCAAGATTATTCGTTAGGCTTACTGTTGAATAAGAAGACCTAATGCTTATCAAATTCAAAGTAATCATTACATCAATAAACCTCGTCTCAGTTAGCAACGTCACTAAGGAACAATAAAACTCTAGGCAATCAACTTTCAAATCAAGGGTAAAATTATTACAATTTTACATAATTCAGTAACAGCAGCATAATCGAACTCCAGAGAGCAAATCAAAAGCATATTCTCAGGAAAAAAATAATAAAAAAGCAGCAATTGAAATATATAGAAAAGAATCGGCTAACCTCCACTCGCCGTCATCGTAAGGAGAGTAATCGATATCTTCTCTTCTAACACAATTAAACATCAAAGCCGCCATAGATGCAAAAATTCCTTTAAAAAGTTGGTAAATTAAAAGGAAGTTGATGAATTCATGTGTGTGTGTTGGGGGGGGGGGGAGAGAGAGAGAGAGAGAGAGACCGATGTACCAGGTAAAAAGTGGAGGAAAGGGACATTGATGGAGCTACAAACGACGGCGTCGACCCAAAACCACCAGCCGGGACCGAAGATCGCCCACAGTTCACTTAATTCCATTTGATTGTTTTCCGATCTAATTAATTAACGAAATAATGATTCGGAAAATAAAAAAATAGACTAATATGGAACTGTTGTTTTCCACTCTCTTGTACCTTACTCTACAAGGCATACATTTACTTCTCTTTTCTCCGCTAGTCCGCTTTAATATTTTACGTCATCTATACTGTATTAAAACTCCATTAAATTGGCGAACGTTTAAATTTAGGTTAAAGTACATAAATGATATTTAAATTATAGATTTAAAAGTTATAAAATATTTTTTTTTGATTATAGATGTTGTTTTGTTGAGTTATTCGAATATTAAAAATAATAAATTATTTATATGTTTTAAATTTGTTCTTTATCGTGAAAAATTTAAGTTTGAACTGGACGTTAACATTCTGATTGTGATATAATAAAATCATATTTTAATGATATGAATCTTCGTTGCTTTCAAACACTGACTCTACGACATAATGTAACGAAGAGTCGATCTATAAAATGCATCTTAAACGGTTCTACGATAAGATTTTATCATATCTAAGTCAATATGTAAACATCCAACTCAGACTACTGCATCTACCTTACAAACGTAGCTATTCGAACACGAGATTTTAAGAAGAACAATACTCTATTTAACTACTAAAGTCATTTAATGAATTTAGAATTCGAGACATCTTGAAATTTATAGATGAATTATGTCACAGTTTGAAGATATGCATTTGGATTAACGCTTTATGATGAATTTTCTAAACTATATTGTTGCGAATGAAATGTGAAACCCTCTGATTCAATATTGACAAATTCTTATTTCATGGTCCACGTTTTTGTTCTTTCAAATATTCTGTTTCTGTACGGCAGGCAATGCACTTGTAAAATAATGAACATTATATATATATCACATAATTGATTTTCTTTTATATTTTATTTGTTGGCATCAGAGAATTTTATAAAATTTAGAAGTTCTTATATTTTAATTGCATTATTTTTTATCTTTGAAATTATTTAATTTTATTAATTTTATTTTTATCAATGTTTACAATTAATACCATGTTAACATGATAATTAATAATATTGATAAAAAAAGTCAACTATGATGATGTGACAGTTTACGTGTGAATGATATTGTGACAAAAGAATTAGATTGATTTTTTAATCGATTTCAAATGTATAATTGATTTTAATTAAAATATCGATGATTAATTCGATCTTTAAGCAAAAATAAGAATTTTAAAAATATTTTTTCTTTTTAAATATTAAAATATTCATAACATTTATTGAAAATGAAAACTCTAAAAAGTTTTAAAAATTAAGTAAAATTTATAGAATTAAAATATCAAATTTATAAACTTATAAATTATAAATATAATAACTAAAATTTTAAAATATTTATAAAGTATTGAAAATTTTTGAACAATTTCATTTAAAAAAATCCTCAATTGACTTTTATAATTTTGAGTCTATTACTATTCATTATACATAATTTTAGTGTAATAAAAAATGTATTAAAGTAACAATAACCGTTTGGTTTAAAAAAAACATAGACTATTTTCATTTTCTTAAAAATTAAAAAACGTTGAAGAAAACATGTTTGGTTGTAAAATTAAAAAATAATTTCCTGAAAATAAAAAAAATAAGTGAAAATATTAAAATATTAAAAATTATGTTTTCAATATTTTTCATTAAAATTATTTTAGAAAATTTGAAAAAAAGGGAAACAAGGATTTAAATTTTTAACTTAACATTCACAAGCTCAAATCCTTTTAATAACAATTTTTTGACATAATGGAATCTGAAGACTTCAAACTTTTACAAAAAATCAATGTGGTTCCTAAAGTTTTTTTTACACTTAATATGGTCATTAAGCTGAACTTTTTTAGTAATTTAATTTTATAGTATTTTTATATTTAATGTATTGACTATCTTGATATTTGTTTATATTTTAAATTTTCCTATTTTTCTTAAAAAATTAAATAAGTCTTCAAACTTTTTTAAAAATCAATTAGGCCCTTGAACTTAGCTAAAAAATAATTAAGTCTACCTACCATATCATCGTACATCATGTATCATCACATCGCCATTGTAGATTGTCGTGTAAGCATCATGACAGCCAGTGTTTGATTTCGTTGATAAAAGAATTAGATTATTTTTTTCTCATTTTAATGATCGCATTAAGTGCAAAAAAAGTTCAGGGGCTAATAAAATTTTCCCCAAAAGTTTAAGGGCCTCAAATACCACTAAACACATTTGTTGGTTTAAGCACACTTTTGTGTGCTCTTACTTGTAATAATATTTTTGTGTCTTTTTTAAACTTAATTGATGTTCAATATGCATTAACATTATATTCTTATTATAAACTAAAATAATTTTTGTGTTATGAAATTTATTATCAATTTTTTTGCTTTATATTTGAATAATTCACATGTTAATTCTATGTAATGATTTTTTTTAATATTTATATTTTAATTTAATTATTTAATAACTACTTGTTCATCTCTAATTTAAAAAATTAAATACCAACTACATTTTCATTATTTTTATTTCTGAATTAAAGTTTCCATTTATATTAACCAAACATTTTTTTAAAATTTTCAAAAAATTGAAAGTAAAAACTATTTTCTAAAAATAAAAAATAGAAAACAAAAAGTACTTCTAAAACTAAACGGACCAAATTTCCTTTGATTTTCTACGCTAAATATTGATGAACACCCTTAAGTTGACCAACTTTCGATTTTAGTTATAGTCGAAGAATCTAATGAGATATTACTCATTAATTTTAATGTGTCACATTATCCCATTAACAACAACTAACGATAACTAATAATTTAATGCTCATTTTATAACAAAATCAAAAGTGTAGTGTTCATTCTATAATTATTAAAAGTCTAATATTCAAAAAGATCATTTAAGATAATTTAATGTTCACTTTTTAACTTCATCCAAATTTTAATATTTTAATTAATATTTTTGTTAAAATATAAGGAATAACAATGTAACACCCAACTCGAACCCGACCCGGATACGAGTTCGAGATGTCACATTAACTTTTTAAAACAATTTCCTTACAAAATAATTGAACATTTGAACTTATATTAATAAAATACAATAATATACCATTAAATTATGCTTCATTATAAAAATTTAAAAAAATCTGTACTTATGAACAGTATTATACTGTATGAACAGTGCCGTGAACAGTACCATGAACAGTGAAAAATTTCGAATATAAATTATGTATCGATGCACTACTACAGTAACTTTCGTAAAAATACGTATAAATTCATAAAAACTTAAGCTTTCATCCGTATAAAATTACCATTTACATATACACGTTTAAAACATTACAAAACTCAATCATATAATTTTATAAAACCAATTAGAGCATATCGTATTCAAATCTTTATTTACATGCCAACCATTATTATTATTACAAAATACATACTACTTAATTCTTTTCTGATCTGATCTATGGAAAGGAGGAACTGACCTGTCTTACATAACTTTTATCAATCTTCTTCTTCTCGAAACCTACGTGTGAAACAATCACACGCTAAGTCATAGACTTAGTGAGACATGAAAACATATGATATTAATCTACTCATATCAATGCATAAACAAATAATACTATCACTAAATCCTTTTTATCATGTAAGCATATGCTAAACCTTTCTATACTCACCATCGGGCATCCATATCATTTCACAATAGAGCACACATAGTATCATATCAAGTTATTTATTATCTTTAAATATTATATATTAGCCCATGTATACTTTTGAGAACTTAAAGTATGTGAGTACATTGAGGTTGTGCACCACTATGCTGTCACCACAGCTCGTATAAATGTCCCGAAGGACCAGTCCATAGATTCCGAAGAACCTAGGTAATCAGCCCATATGTCCCAAAGAACATAGGTAAACAATCCATATGTCCCAAAGAACATAGGTAAACCCTCGACCCTTGGCATGTCAACTATACCCCTAGCTCTCATATCACATAACATGGGCATTATCATTTATACCAGTTCACATTACTTATTCATATCATTTCTCTTATAAACACATATCTTTTCTTTTCAATCACGTATCACATGTACATGTAATCATTGATCTTATAATCACATGTTCCTTTTCTTCTGTCACATACCACGTATGTGTAAACATATATCTCATTACCACTTATTTATTTCATTTTCTATGTCCCTATCACATAGCTTATTTCATATTCCTATGTTCATGTAGTTTAGTGTCACATAACATAAATACAAGCAAGATGCAATAATACATACATGTAATCACTTAGATCATTGTCTTATAACACATATCCCATAATCATACAATTCATCACATCGATCATTAATCAAATATTATTTTAGGAGTTACTTCTTACCATAGTAACTCCAGCATTGGCTCATCGCAAGCCACTGTTTATTCAATTCATAAATACAAATTAAATTGCACTCACCTTAGCCTTGCTTTGATTCGATCCTAATTCTTTGATTGTTCCGTAACTCGTTTAGGCTATATATCTACATAATTATAATTTTCAAGATAATTATCAGAAGCCTAAACCTTATAACTTGGTATTAATAACTTAGGCTAATTTAATGATCCAAAATTCTATTTTTCCTTAAGGGGTGTACCGATGCACTATGGGTGCATCGGTACACAAAATAGCTTCAAAATATCCATGCATCGATACACCCCTTAATGCATCGATGCGCCTTCAAAAATTATCTCAGTGCATCGGTACATACTCATAGTACATCGATGCACCTGCCCAGAATAGGCTATTTCATCCGAAAATCATCAACACTTCACCCAAATTTTCATGTATAAAATCCTTATTATGCTACTAAATTCATCTATAACAACTTTAACAAATTCCTATCATTCCAACATCTTATAATCTTCCATATTTCATCCAAATTCTTAAGGCTAATAATCATACCAAATTTTCCATGTTATCCAAACTTTGATTTAACACTTATAACTTCTTATTCACACATGTGACAAGTCAAATTTAGTTTCAAATTCAACTTATCAACTCTTTTCCAAGAATTCACTCAAAA